CTCCCTGAAAATCCTACTGCTTCCCTTGGGCAGGCACTGCCCAGGCCAATGGGGAGCTCAGTTCCCCAGCTTCTTCACCCACTTGGCTGCCAGCTGGGGCGGATGTCTGTTTTTCCCAATTCTTTCTTAGGGTCTGATGGTAGCAGAAGCTTGTGTTCCTTCCTAGAACATTGGCTCAGGACCAAGGGGCCTGGAGCTGCTGAGGCCAGAGACGAATTCCTTCCCGTCTTTTTTCTGTGTACGCGCTTAGGCACACAGTGGCTTCCACTCTCACTGCATCTTCTCTCTCAGGCCACATCCCTTGTTTATGACCTTTACCTACTTTGGGGTTTTGGTTTTTCTATTGACTTATAAGAGCACTTTATAGACAAAGGATATACTTTACCACAAGGACTTGATCCCAATGTGTCGATTGGCTATGGGTTATCTTTATGTCTTTTTCTCCTACTTTCCAGTGTGGAAAATTACAAACGCACAGAAGTAGAGAGACTAGCGTGACGCATGTCCGCGTACCCTCACCAGCTCCCACCGTGAAGTCACAGTCTAGAAGTAAAGTCATTGTCTTTCGTCTGTAACGTTCTCTACATGTGCTACTGTGAATGGTGTCGCTTTAAAAAAACAACAACCTATAACCAAAATACAGGGCTTTTATTTTTGATGTACAGCAATGTCTCATTCTCCCAAAATTAAGCTGCTTTGTCTTTTCCTTGGCAGTTTCTTTAAGGTTGAGAACAGCCTCCTCCCGCCCAGGCAGCCCAGGCCCTGCACTGACTATGAGTGACCCAGTGGTCCTGGCTGGGATGGATGGACGGACAGACGAGGACTCCCCCCTTGCGAACCCCATGCCCCGCCTCCTGTTCCAACCTTGTCCCCAGCCTTGGCACAGGGTGCCTCCCTGTAGGCTGACCAGAAGCTATTCCTGTGGCTGTAACCACAGCAGGGGGCGACGGTAAAGGTGGGCCGCCACAAGGCCAGAGGTGTAGGGAGCAAGGCTCCCTGCTGGCAGTGCTGAGGGGACATGGGGCCCCCTGGCAGAGAGAGCTTCGGCACCACCAGACCTGGGTTCTGCTCTTCTGCTCCCGCTCGCACCCTTCCTCCCCATCCAGATGGGTGGGGAGTGGGGTGGGGTGGGGAAGGAGGTTCAGCCGGTGTTGAGTCCCCTCTCTCCACTCATGGGGGACAGGGACAGCTGGTGGTAGACTGACAGATGGCCGGTGAGAGGTCAGGATCGGAGCCCAAGCCTCCTGCCTGCCTCCCCCTGCTGGCCTGACCCTTAGGAAATTCCTCTAATTCCTCAACCCAGATTGGACTCAGGCCCCATAATTTGATTTTCTGGAGCAGGGTTTGGCTGTACTCCCTGTGAGCAGGAATGTCTGGGTCAGCAGGAAGACGGCAAATGTGGGCTTAGGCCCTGACCGGTGGCGCTCAGTGGTTAGAGCGTTGGCCTGCGCACCAAAAGGTCGGGGGTTCAATTCCTGGTCAAGGTCACGCATCTTGGTTGTGGTTAGCACGCACCCCACCTCCAGTTGGGAGGCAACTAATCGATGTGTCTCTCCCACATTGTCTCTCTCTTTCTCCCACTCCCTCCCTCCTTCTTCTTCCTTCCTTTCCTCCCTCCCTCCCTCCTTCCCTCCCTCCCTCCCTCCCTCCCTCCCCCTAACCCTTCCAGTTTCTCTAAAAAAGCAATGGAAAAAAAAGTCCTCTGGTGAGGATTAACAACAACAACAAAAATGTGGGCTTAGGTTTTGGGGGAAGGTTCAGCATCTCCCCCCAGTTCCTCTGATGGTGCCTTCAGTTTCCTGATGGAGTGCAGTGTCTACAGTTGTGCCCCAGAAGGCTCGGGGACAAGGCCCCTCCTCCCAGCGGTGTTTCAGAGCCTCATTCTTGCCCACCTGCCCACTCATTCATCTGCCCAACTGTCCATTTACTCATTCCTCCAGCCAGCCTCCACCCATCCTTTTACCCACTCACCAACTGCCCATGTAGCCACCCACCCACCCATCCACTCATCTACCCCATCCTCTCATACAATGACCTACTTATTCTGCAGTCCACCCATCCGTTTACTCCTTCATTCATTTCCCCTTCCATCCAGCCTCTGTACTTCCATCCCTCCACCCACCCACCAGTCCATTCACCGGGAGTCACTCCTGGGTGTCCAAGCCTGGACAGGCTTTCCCCAATCGAGCACCTCCACTCCTGCCCTGAGACAGGCCTGTTTGTTCCTGTCTTCTTGCTACATCACCTCCAGGGGCAGGCAGGCGAGTGTGGTGAAAAGACACACGCAAAGGTGGTGCCTGGGGTCAGGGTGGGGATCATGATAGGTCTGCCCTGCAGGCAGTGCAGGGCCCTTCCCAGGTGAATGGCTGTGATGATGTCAGTCAGGGTGGCACCTCCCTGCCGGCCTCCAGAGCCTCCCGGGGCCCAGCAGGAGTGAGTCTAGTGACTACCACTACCCAGGATCGGAGCTCCACCCCAGGGCCAGCTGGGAAAACAGCTGGGAAAGTCTCATGGTTGATGTTAAAAATTCATGCCCATTTTGCCTTTCATGTCATTACATATTTATTGTTTTAATATAAAAATAGCGTTTTGAGTTACCATCAGAAAAGCCACCTCTGGGGTGCTAGCCTGGGTCACCTGTGCCCACCTGGGACTTAGGGAAGCTCCCATGTCAGGAGAGTGGGCCTGTGTCTTCCCCGCTTCCTAGATGTCCCCAGCCAGCAGTCTGCCTCTTGCACATGCCAGGGCTGCTCTTGCGGCCACCAAGGCTGACAAGGCTGCAGCCTGCAAGGTTCAGTGCCCTCCCTCACAGGCAGACAGAGGGGTGTACCGTCAGACTGGAGCAGGGGGCATGGGCCCCAGATCTGGGGTCTCTGTTCTCCAGTAGGCAGCTGTGGGGCACTCTACCCTCAAGCTGGCTGGCATTTGGGAGTGTCACCTGGGAGACGCACAGCCATTTAGCTCCAGCTGAGAGAACTGGGTAATGGAAAGGTCAGTGTGGGGTTTGGCCACCTTCTCACTATAGGCTCAGAATTCTGGGCCTCTGGCCAGCTCCCAGCCAGAGCAAGTGGGCCCCCTTCAGAGCTGGGGCCTGCCGGAGGGCTCAGGGCAGGGAAGCTGGAGGCTAAGGCTGCCCCCTTGCCTTGCTATCTCAGGGTCTGGGGGGAGGGGAAGCCTGAGGTTAGGCAAGAATCCATGTCTCTGCACGAGGAGGGAGGGAAGCCACCTCCTGGCCGTCCCATAGGTCCTGATCATCCCCTCCCAGACACACCTTGCTCTCCTACGTGTGGCCCTGGTCTCAGCTGTGTTGCCAGGGCATGAGGCTCAGCTGAGGCCGCCCAGCTACAATCAAGGCTGGCTGCGGGCTGACCTACTTTGACCTCCATCCTGCCCTGTGCTCCGCTCGAGGGAGGAAGTGCCCATAACACACACCTGGGCAGCCAGGTTTAGTTGATCTGTGCACAGGGCCTGGTGGCCACCGTATGTAGGTGTGTCTGTGACCCCTGCACAGGGACCTGTGTCCATGCCGGGCTGTTTGTCCCTTATCCCCTGCTGGCCCACTGCACCCCCACCTCCCTGTGAGTGCCAGGACCTCTCCCTGCAGGAGTTGAGTTCATTCTTCCTCCTGTGCTGACCTCATCACCCCTCCTCCAGGTCACACTGACAATTTATTTGTGTGACTGGTTCTGGGGAAATGAAAAGCAGCTTCTGGGACCTATGCTGGCCTCTTTTCCTCTCTGGGCCTCAGTTTCCCCAGTTGTCGCAGTGGACTGGACTCTGCGGTGTTCTTTAAACTGGAGGTGCACCCACACCCCCACAGCGTCCCTGGCCCAGCCAGCATCAGGGGGGCAAGCCTAGCACTGACCTTCCTCTCAGGGCTCTGCCCCTGCAGCTGGACCTTCTCACGTGCTGCCCACTGTGCTGTGTCTCTAAGCTCAGGCCCTACATGAGCGGAGGCGGCCTCAGTGGCCTGTGCGGGTCGGATCAGGAGGATGCCCTGAGCAGCACTGGCTCCATGGGGCACACTACGTGCTGGCAGTGTGGCCACATGGCCTGCACCCCATGCACTCCTATGCGGCTGGGTGTGAACCCCAAATGCTCCTCTTGCATCTTTTTGCCCATGAAAAGCAAACACACTGAGCCGCCAGGGAGCAAGCGGTGAGGAACAGCGCTGGCTTGTGATTGCAGCTGCCAAGCTCTGCCACCCCTTCCCTATCCCCCGGGACCTGCAGGGGAAGCACTGTATCCGGACCCGGGCAGGCCTGGCCCTCCTGGCACACTGGGCCTGGGTAGCCTGGGCCCCCTACCCTCAATCTCCTCCGGATCCAGTATTCATGGGCCACTTTCAGGCACAGAAGCACAACCACTGTCTGTACTCGGCCTTCACTCGGCTGTGTGGGTAGACATCACCCTGTTCCAGCCAGTGTAGCTGTGAGTGGAGGCCAGACCGCTGGTCTGAAGGCCAGTGTCACCCCTGTGCCTGCCTAGGGGTCCCGGGAGCACCTGGTGGCTGGGGAGTGACACCTGACATGTTGCTCACTGGTCCATTGGCTCTGCCACATGTGTGGCTGTGGACAGGTCCCCCAACCTCTCTGGGCCCCAGCATTCACCTCAGTGAGAGGAGCCTAGGCTGGCCCCATAAGATGGGGTGAGTTGGCATGTGCTGTGGGCAGCAGAGGGCCTGGGAGGTCTGAGTGCTGGTCACACCAAGCTCTTCTGGCCCTTCCCTTCCCAGTGGGCTCTAGGACCCCCATAGTCCGTGGTTCTGCTGCGCCTGCGGGGGAGCAGAGCCCCACACCCCACAGGGAAGGAGCCGGCTGCTTCCAGCCAGCCTCAGATTCATGGCTTTTAATTTAGAATTTAATCAATGTGGCTTCTCTCTTGAGGGCTGGATGCTCCAGTGTGGGAGTGAGTTGTGTGATTTGTGAGTGGGGCCGGCAGGGGGCCCATGGTGCCCTCTGCCTCGGCCCTACCTTGACCTTGCTCTGCTTTGCCTGCAGCCAGCAGGCGTCCTGGTCATGGAGGACTGCAACGTGCACTCGGCTGCCAGCATCCTGGCCTCGGTGAAGGAGCAGGAGGCTCGCTTTGAGCGGCTGACACGGGCACTAGAGCAGGAGCGGCGCCATGTTGCCTTGCAGCTGGAGCGTGCCCAGCAGCCTGGTGTGGGCAGTGGTGGCGTGGGCAGTGGGCAACCCCTGCCGATGGCCTGGCAACAGCTGGTCTTGCAGGTAACAGCCCAGTGACTCAGGAAGGGTGAAATGGTCAAGTGGGAAAACAATCAAGGGGTCCTAGTGGGCCACATGCCAGCACGCATTGGCTTATGGCAAGACCTCCTGGGGTCTCTGGGGGAGAGGAGAAAAGTGGGATTCCCAAGGGACTAGAACTCCCAGGTGGGTGTGCGGGGCACCATGCGATGAATGGGCAGGACACAACCTGACCCTCAGAACAGCACCCTCCACTTGAGTGAGCCCCCAGAACCCAGGCAGCTGAACAGGGTCTATTCTGGGCAGCCCAGTGGTCAGCATGGTGACACGGAGGGTCTTGCCAGCCCTGGAGTCTCCCTGCCATGGTGTTCTTCATAGCATGCATCGGTGGGTCAGCCCCAGGGGAAGGCTCCAGCAAGGCCTTGGGCTCTGCCTGCCGCCCAGAGGATAACCTGGGAGTTCAGTGTCTCCACTGGCCGTTACCCTCAGACCGGTATCTGGCCCCTGATCAGCCCCCAAGAGGTGTGGAACCCTGTCTGCCTTGTGGCCAGACCCTGATAACTCTGCAGTTAGAGGCTCATGGTTAGGAGTCAGGCCGCCTGGACTCCTTCCGCGACCCACTGTGCCCCAGTGCCTAACCTGCAGACTAGTTACCAAAGCACCTTGCTCACAGGATGGTAGGGGCAGGACAAAGAAATGTGGGAGTCCTGGAGTTTGGCAAGATTATTTTGGTTCCCATTATTAACTGAGGCATGGGGTGGGGGACAGGCAGGGTGGAGCTATCCCAGGAACTTAGGGAGAGCTGGGAGTAGGGTCCCTGTGTGGGGATTGCACCCTGCAGGCCTCCCACTGTGCCCCCTCCTCACCACCAGGCTCAGTGGCCTGGGGGGGCAGAGGCCTGAATGTTCCCCTGGGTTCCTCGCAATGACCCTGGAGGCCCTCCCCGTGGGTTCATCAGTTTCCTGGGCAGGACAGCAGGGTTGCTCTCCTAAACTTGGTAGCTGGAGCCCCTCCTGATGTTTCCCCAAGCACATGCACAGCCTCCCTTCTCTGGTCCTGCTGAGCCCTCCAAAGGTGAAGCCTGTACCCACAAACTCAAGGAGGGGCAGAACAGCCTAGCTGGGCCACATGGGGATAGCAACAGCCAATGACCCCAAGGCTGCTCCTCAGGCGCCAGGAGCTCTATCCAGCCCTCCCAGGCCGGAAAAGGCTTGGGCCTTCAGCCCAGAGGGCACTGACAAGGGTTGATGCCCCCGAGGGAAGAGGGAAGATGTTCCCATGGCCTAGAGCTGCCCTGGCTTCCTGAGGGCGGTGCAGGGAAGTCCTCAGGCCACCACCCCTCTCTGCCCACCACCCCTCCCTAGCCTGCCCTCAATTTTTTCTCTCTTGGGAGGATATGGTTTTCTCAGGCTGAGATGGGAGAGAGTGTGTTCCCAGGGCGGTGGCTAGACTGGCAGGGCTGAGGGGGTTGATGTGGGAGGTGGGACCACATCTGGCTGTCCAGTCCTAGCAACCTCAATGCCAAACCTGCTTTCCGGATCCATCTCAGCATGAGGGGGCCTAGTGACCTACCTGCTGAGCCACAGAGCTACCAGGAGCTGGTCCTCAGGGTCAGAGCTGGGCTCTGCACAGCTTGGGAGCAGGCAGCTGGGCCAGGGGGCTGAGAGGCCAGGGGCTACCCCCACCCCTAGACTGTGCCACAGTCCTGGTTGCCTGCCCTTCATCCTCCAGCAGGAGGAGTCCCCTCCTCCAGACACCTGGCTGGAGCAGGGCTGGCCCTCACCAGTGTGTGTGTGTGTGTGTGCGTGTGTGTGTGTGTGTGTGTGTGGGGAGGGGGGTGGAGGGGGGACGGTCATCACTCGGGACCTACCCAGCTTCAGGCTGGGGCACTAGCAGCTGGTGTGATTTGGGAGAAGAGAGAAATGAACCCAATGTAAGCATCCAGGCCAAGTGACCTTAGGGCAGTGGTCCATCCTCCTGCTTCTGCCCCAGCCCTCTTGCTTCTGCTCCACCTAGGGCTGCCATGGATTGATGATATAGGGGCCAGTGGTCAGGTCAACTCACCCCTGTGCCGGTGGTAAAACTGCGGCTCAGAGGGACATGCAGTGGACACCCAGAGTGCTCGCGCATGCTGGCTGCATGGTCTATGTACATGGCATGTTGTGGCAGAAAAGAGGGCCTGTGGTGGCTCTAAGTGGTGCCTGTGGAAAAACAGGTAGGAGACGGGCGGCCCGGCCTCCTCTCTTTTCTGACACACTGACTCTCCCTGGGCTGGCCCAGCTCTGTGCCTCCCAGAGCCTAGTTAGGTTACCTTGATTATAATGCAAGAGCCACTGGCTTGTTTTTGTGGGAAAGGACCCAAGAGGTGGCCCAGCCCAGCCCAGCCCAGCCCTTCTCTTGTCTACATTTCTTTCCAACAGAGCCAGACTCCCCAGGGTGTGGCTGCACCTTCTCACCAGGCTTCTGGGAGGAGGGGGGGGGGGGTATCCTGATTAACCCACCACTCTGAACGCCCCCCCTCCCACCACCACCACTTCCCAATAGATCAAATACATGGAGGGGAGAGGGTCTGAGGCAACTCAGCCTCAAAAGCTTTCACACAGGGTCACCCAACAGTTGCCCCTCCTTAGAGGGTGGAGAGATCCGGGCCCGGGCCTTGAGGGAGAAAACCCAAGACAAAGTGGGTCAGTGCAGGTCCCTTTGCCAGGTCTCGGTTGAGCTCTGTGGGGACACTTACTTGGGGGGAGGCCTTTTGGGGATGGGCAGTTGGCCTGGAGCGGGGTCTGAGAGGCCTCTGCAGCACTGTCAGGTTAGTAACTATGTCTTATCGGCCCCCATTTCACAGCAAGGGGAAACCGAGTCCTGCAGGTGAGAGTGGCCTTGCCCTCTGTCCATAGCCACACTGGACCCCGCACTGCCAGAACTGTTTCCTCAACTCTACAGGGGGGACGTGTGAGCTTTTTAATGGGGACAGACCTAAGCCGGGGAATGGGCTCATCTCGGGGCAGGAAAAAGATCACCTTCGCGGGGAAGTGGGGTACGGGGAGGGATGAGGAGCCCAGACCTGCTGCGGGGGAGACCGCCCC